TTTGTTGCAGCGGCACAGTGGTGGCTGCCACAGACATACTTCTACCTCTGAATCCTTCAGTAGGAAGCATGCCATCCCACAGTACATCAAGTGAGCAGCTAGCGAGCAGGCAGATCTATGGCCAGGAAGCCGACTACAAAGTAGCCACTTCGGAGATGCGCAGCATAAATCCACGCATGTTATAAAGCAACGCCCGCTAAGGAAAAAGTCAGGTGAGCTGCAGGCTGCTTTGCTTTGCAGGCTAGGTCCGTGATGTCCATGCAGTTGAGGATTGAGCAGCTTCCGGCGCGCTGTGCGGACTTTCGAGCATTGCAGACCTTGGACCTGCAAGGAAATCCCATAATCAACCGGCTGTTCCTCGGCTCACCATGGTTTAGACTTTGCCTATGCAAAACAACCTTGAGATGTCATTTCAGGCACCAAGCTCCACGGCATCCTGACTGGCTCAGCCTCTGGCTACTGAAGTCTACAGGCGAGTTGCACAACTTGCCAGGCTTGAAGGCAGGCGTGCAGCAAACACGAACCTTTCAGCTTCTGGAGAACATTCGTTATTGTGCTGAGCCACATGAATACTTTCGCAACCAAAAGCCCGGAGGATTTCACGCCCAGCGTTATGAGCCAGGGAGAGCTGTCGCTTGCTGGGTGGCAGCTGCGTGGTGAGATGAGCCCCGCTTGGTCTCGAATTCGGGATGTCAAGTGCCTGGATGTATCGGACAATCGAATTACGGCATTGCCGGAGGATGTTAGCAATTGGAGTGACATGGAGTCCCTAATCCTGTCGCAGAATGAGCTCCGAGCCTTTGAATTGGCGTCGGTGATCACTTTGGCTCACCAGAACTTGCTTCAGTGGCTTGAAGTCTTAGGCTCAACAAGCTTCCAGAGACGCTGGGCTCCCTGTGCAAATTGTTACTGCCTCTAGGCCGCACCGTGGCTTCTTTCTGGCTTTCGCTGTCGAGTTTAGGATCTTCCCGTTCAAGCTTTGACAGCATGGTTTAGGCTGACGTAGCAAGAATATCCAGGCTGGAAGCATCTGCCAACAAGCTCCAGGAGCTTCCCACAGGATTTGGATGTTTACGAAGCCTGCGCAAGCTGGACGTCAGCAAGAATCGCCTTTCTAAGCTTCCTGACGCTGGGGCAGCACGATGCATTCAGATGCGACCGCATGGTGCTGCAGCTCCCATGCCAAGGATAGCTGGGGCCAACTTACCTCTCTGCACCACGCAAACTTTTCGATCAATCGGCTTCTTTCGCTGCCGAACGATTTTGGATCCCCGGCTTGAGGAGTTTGGTAGATTAGGAAATTTAAGTGTGTTTTCTGCAGTGCAGGAGGGTGCATCATGCCAAGGGCTCACTGCTACGCTCCTAGCTAGCCCGAAATTGCCTCAAGCTTGCACTCTCATCCCACGCGTTGTGTTGACGCAGTGGAAGGCGTCAGAAACAAGAACCGCTCCACCACCCGAATGATTTCATGGAGCATGCGCTCTAGTCATCTCATAATTCGCATGGAGCTTTGCATGAGGAAAGCTATCAGCCCTGAAGTGGCTCAGCAACCTGGCTGACTTGGATGCTACGCAAAGAAGGGAAGATGGTAAGTGCTCAGGGTTTCGACTCTTGCAAGTCTTGCACTGCTGATGCGCTTCAAGTGAGGTGTGGCCGGCAACGAGCTGATTGGCTTGCCTCCGAGTTTCAAGCATCTGCGGCAGTTGGCCGAGTTTCTCTGCGAAGGCCACGATATACCCAGCAACTCTCACGTCTGTTGGACAAGCCCTGCAGGAACCCCCCTGGCTTCGATGCTTTTGCAGGCAGCCTCTCGTCTTGGAGTGCCATCCACATCCACCGTTTCAGGAAGTGTGTGTGCTCATACTAAGGACGAGATGCCGGAGCAACGCATTCTGTGGGAGCTGAATCAGTGGGGCCGCCTGGCCCCTGCCCCAGACTGACGCAGGTGAACGCACAACGTGAGAAACAGGCATCCACTCAAGTCCCTGTGTGGAATTGCACACAGGCACAAATCAAGTTGCACCCGCAGCAGGGAGGCGGGCTTTCTTGCTGATTTGGGGATGCGCAGATGATCACAGATGTGGCAAAACAGCTAACTCTTGCGCTCGTACAGCAGGGCGGGTCCCTGATGGCCTGGTGCAGTGGAGATGGATATCGCCTACGCTGCCAGATGCACCAGCGCCACAGGCAAAGGCTTCTAGCTCCCGCGGACCTTACACAGGCACTGCTGCTGAGATGCGAGTTGTTTTCAGAAAGTCATAACGCTTTCTGTCTAGGCATCTGCCAGAGCATCAACTTTTTGTTCCAACAGCATTGCCAGGGGCAGCTCCAGAATCGCGCGGCACGACCAAGCTGAAGAGCAGTGCTTTGGCAGCACTATCCAGGATGAGATTTAAGTACTTTCAAGGACTGCCAGTGCACAAGACCAGCCTGATATTCCCAATGGACCTGCCCCTCTAGGCGGTCGATGGCATGCAAAGAGTAGCCTGAGCAAGCTTTGGGAAAGTTGCCTGTTTCGTTACCCCCCACACACCACAACCAGTGCCACAAGTTCAAGCTTTTTCGTTTGTGGGGCCGCAAACCGCAAGGCCCGAAGTGCAGCACAGATGAGGCAGCAGAGGTGGTCCCCTAGCCGCATTTGGGAGGACAATGGTGGATCATCACCTGCGACGCACCACAGTTGAAACGTGACGCGGAAGAGTGAGCCAGTACTGTAGCGGGTATTTGAGGTGAGTATGTGCTGTCCACTGATTGCTATGAGCATGCGCGAAGTCTGTGGATGCCAGTGATGAGCGCAGGTACAGCGTTTGCGCTCTCGCTTAGAGGCCGCAGTTGGCGAAAGCGAGGTGCAAAAACTGCTTCGACAAATGCAACCTTGCTGTCTTTTGGTGCGGGATGGTTTGCCATGCCAAGCTGGACGGAAAATTGCCTTGTGATGGCCTTTTTGATGGCACTTGTTGTTGAATCATATCATCAGAAAGAGCATAAGCAGTGTTCTGGGACACTACATTCTGAATGAAGTCCAGCATCTTCTTGATTTCGTGAGCATGGATGCCTACTGTAGCATGCATGTGAGGTATCGGGAGTGGCATCCAGATAAACGAGTGGAGGCCAGGTGCTTATCATTGTCACCAACTATCTCCTAACAGTTGAATTAGCATCTCAAGCTGAACTATTGAAAGTTGCTTGACGAAGTTTTTTCTTGACATGTGGCTGGTTTGCCGCCTGCTTTGGATTTTGGTGGTCACAAGACGTTGCCCTCTGCAGGCGGAGCAGCAGCTGGCCACTCGTGTGTTCCAATGGCTGCAGGAGGTTAAAGTGCAAAACTCCTTGTGATGGCAGCCCGGGAATGCGTCAATTGCTTCGTTGCAGCCGCGGTGATGTCCGGGCCAAGACAAGCCAAAGCAATTGATGAGGGGACACCTGCAAGGGGAGTTGTCAGAAGGACACAAAGACTGCCTTCTGGAGAGCTCGGACTCTTATTGAAAAAGCGTTGCGGCCCTTCATTTGAAAGAATTCCCCGCAAGGGGCTTTTAGTTGCGTGGCGTTCGCCGAACGGCCAAGAAGGGGTACGCAAATAACCAGTTCTGGCAAGAAAGCATATAGAACGATCTCCGTTTGAAAGCGCAGTATACTTCTTTGTCATGCTTGTGCAGCTAATGCAATAACGCTGGCCTCGTACTTTTCGAGCTTTCTGCATAGCAGTGGTGTGATGCGGAAATTGTTTGCGTGCTATGTTTGAGCTGCTTCATGAAAACAGGTAGGGGTTTGGGCCTTCCCAAACGAGGCTGGGATGTTTGGGTCTGTGGCCGAACCTTTGGTCCAAAGCCCTGGGTCATTGATGCAATGAAGGCTCCACGAGACCTAATATCATTTGGGGATCGTCCAAAAACCAATGTTTAAAATATATAAGCACGGAGACGCATGATTCCAAAACATTGCGGGCGCAAGGGCGGCGAAATTTTCGCGAAAGGTTCAAAAGTCAGTCCCAACAGTTTGTCTTGTAGCGTAGCATTGCTGGACCATTGCGCACGCATATAGGGCTTTTACTTGACAGGACTGTTTGGGCTCTCACGGCCGAGCTTTTCTAAGAAAACACGCGCGGGCACTTGCTGCAGTGGGGCAAGTCCAGCAACTCTCAGTACAGAAGTGCTACCAGTACTACTGCTCTCATCATCAGTACCACCGTCCATCAATGTCCATCAAATCGCTTCCAGAGCAGATGTTGCAGAACGGATTTTCGCGAAAGACACGCGGAAGGCGCGCGAAAGGAACGCAAAAGGCGCACGTGTCCCGGGAAGGTAGTTGGCCACTCGGTCTTCTATGAAAAGCCCGGCTTCTTCTTTCAAAGAATAAGAAGTCCCCTGCAAACCTGTAGCCAGTGCAGCCAGCGCGCGCAGGGCGCGAACATCACTGAGTTTCTAGCTTAGGTTTTGAATTTGCGGAGTGGGTTTAGGACCGCTTGTAATTATTCAGGCCCCTGACCATATAGGACCCCAACATAATTTCCGAGCATTCAACAAATCTTTCAAATGCAGGACCTGTAAAGAGGATTTGGATAAGGTTTGTTGCACATCTTTTCTTCAGGGAGACCGTTGTGGTCTGTGACAGAGAAGCGAGCAAAACGCCTGGATGACCGTATAAAAGACGCACTGTAAGTCCTGAGTTGTATTGATAAATGAGATCCCAGCCAGCTCCGTGGTAATGGGTGTAGACCGAAGCAAACTCCGCGGAAAGACTTCCGGCTCAGGCTGCACAAGCAAGTTGGGGAGACAGGCTTGAGATTTTGTTACACCTCCATTTTCCAGTACAGGGGCTCTCATGGTTTGTTTTTTCAGTATTGAAGGTAGTATCATCGCCACTCTAGACTTCATCACATGAATAAGGGGGCTTGTTGAATTGCCCCTACAAGAGGGACTTTCGATTGGGCCATTTTGTTTGTGCAGGAGAAGGCCTGGCTGGTCTTCGACAACTGGTCTGCGGAGGGCAGAGTGGATGCCATGCAGGGTTTAGCTTCGGCCGTCCTGGCAAGGCCATCCTTTCGTCATTGTAGATACGACACGTTGACGTTGGATTATTTTCAAAAGTTGAGCATTATTTGAATGAACAGGCTCAAGAGGGTGCCTTAACATAAGGGGATGGGGTGGGGTTACCCCAGGCAGGGTGCCCAATTTAGCGGCCTAATTTTTGGGGCCAGAGAAATAGGGCAGAATGAGACCCGGAAATAGGCGGGAAACGGGGGGTCTTGCTGGTTTCCTAGTAGGAGAGCCACGAGAAGGGGTGGGTATCCCTCCAAGATGCTTAAAATCGTGCCTCTTCTTGTGTCGGTTATGGATTATACTGCAGAGTGTCCAAGCAATACCGCATGCATAAATCAGGATCCCGGTAGTCCTAAAAAAACAGGGGGGACACACTTCTGCTGCTCTTGTAGCAGGAGAGCCGCGAGGGTGGGTGCCCCCTCCAAATATCCCCTTCTGCACCAGAAATAATTTTGACCTATTTCTCCACCCCCGGCCACCCCCACCCCCTCCCCCCCTACGCTAGGCGCCATAAACAGACATGGTACCTACTATCACATTCTGCTGGATTTGTGAGACTGCCTTTGTTTCGCATACTGTGTGGATTGTGCGAGCCTCTTTCGACAGCCGACTCTTCGCACGCTGTGTCGTTGAAGAGGCCGTACTGCGAGCCTGGGAAGCTGGCTTGGCTGGCTCCCTATCAACTCATATCCATTCCGTGCCTTGCATCTCTGATGTGTTTGCTACATGCGGCAAGTACAAAGGCTGGCCACCACATGCATCTTGCACCTGGGCCTACCAAATCCTAGAGCCGCCTCATGACACCAGGACAGAACACAGTCCAACCATGTCCAACTCAGGCTGCTTAGAGGGTCAGATGCAGAGCAAGCGCTGGAGTACAGCGCTCAGCGCCGGCATCGAGACAGTGGGTTCGAGCTTGCTTTGCAATGCGAGCCATGCGAGCCATACGGTGCACAAGTTATACACATCACGTAGAATGGCATGCGCACAGGTGTGCCAGCTCGTTGGATGAGGACTTGCTTGGACAGATGACGGTGTCTCAGACCCCAACTGGATTTCATAGGTATCTGTAATGTAGAAAGTATGATGCAGGTGCATCCTCAATTCCTTGCATTACTCTTCCGCAGAGCGGCAGAAAGAATTCTGAGGTGCTCAGCTACGAGACGAAGCACAACACGCGCTTCCACCTGGTTCTACGCAGCCCGTGGCCGGCCTTCCAAATGGTGGACCTGCTTGCTCGGCTCGTCCCAGAGATGCTCAGCACTTGCTTGGTCCTCTTGTTAAATCACATTCATCTCTTGGCAATTCTTTGCAGCTTTCGCCGCCTGATTGAGTTGACACAGGAACGGCAGCACCCGTGTCTTGAATGCAGCAATGTTGTAGATGCAAGTCAGGTCACACCTCTTCTTCGTGTGCGCACGACTTATTGCAAGATGAGTACACATCATGCCTAGCTGGTTCAAGAGCTTGTTTTGGTCTCACATTCCGTGGAGTTAGAGACTTCTGCCCAACGCCGTGGCTTTCTCAGGTCTGGGAGCCTGCAGGAAGAACACCAAATGGAACAGAAGCTTGGTCAAATACTTCCCTCGGGGCGTTCCAAATTTCGCATTGAATTGGCTCATCTGACTTGTCTGCTGGTTCGGGACAACTTCTGAGCGACTTGCCAGGTGACCCGGATGTCTTTGACTGGCCACAGTTCAAACGACTACTTTCTGAAGCTGCGCTTGTCCTACAGCTTTTCACACATGGCTTGATGCATGGTCCTGCCTAGTTGCATGCTGGCTGCCTTCAGCACGCATGCGAGGTGGACGAGCTTGTTGCTGACGAATCTGTGTTCGAATTAAGGCAGCGTGACGGAGAATCGCAAGCTTTCCAGTGCATCTGATGGCAGGTCCTCGGATGGCCCGCTGTCTCAGCAGTATGCGGCCCGCTGGCATCGAATCCACTCTCTGCCGGCCATGAAGGACAGGTATCGCGTGATGAAGCTTCATGGGCTGCTCTTGCTTGATAGGAAGTTATTTACTTCTCCCACGATGTCTTTGACGCGTATCGGCAGCATCACTACCAAGCTGGCTGTCACTTGGGAATCATCTCTTGCTACATATTACAGATATTTGTCGTGCTGCTTCGCGACATAGAAGGCCGGCTACACAAGCAAGTGGCCAGCGTTGCTCAGCTCGTAAACATCTACGGCCCAGTGCAGCAGGCCGCGAAGACAGACTGGCCCGTGTTTCGGCTCCTGCACTTCGCAAGCTTGTTGCAACGAGCACATCCTCATGACGTTTGGAAGGGCAACCAGGATAATGCACGCTCAGCTGCAAAAGATGCTGCCAAGACTTTGGTGGCAAATGTGGAAAAGGCCGCCAAAGCCATAACTGCGCCAATATCTTTTTTGACGTCCGCTTGGGGATGGATGTCAACGGTTTTGGACACTTGGCGTGACGTGTGTGTGCCTCTTTTATGCTTGCGAGTCACACCGTCACATCTAAGGACATGGTGTTGAAGCGCTGGCAAGAGGTGTCTAAGACAGCCCCTTTGCTAGTTCTTTGCCGAGATCAATTAGCATTAGCAAATTGCAAAGCCTCGCAGAAGTTTAATTTGCGGCCACTGGTTCAATGCATTGATGCACCTCAACGTTTGGGCGTTGAGACCATGGTTGCGAAGTACCTCGCCATGGCCTCCATAACGAGGTCAGGTTTGCATGCAGTGTGGCTTGATTTGGATGTTTTTGTGCTCACTGATCCGAGCCCGCTTGTGCTTACCGAGCTGGCAAGACAGCCATCCACAAGCCTTTTCTTTTCGCGGCACATCTTGTCGGAATCTGTGACTCCAGCAGTGGTGATAGCACGCCCAAATTCTGAAGCAGTGTCGCTGCTGATGGGTTTCGCCAGCTGGCTCCGTGAAAACCCGTATCTCCTCGACCATAAAGCATGGGACCAGTTTTTGACTAACAACAAGGGGGACTTTGCTGGCGTCTTTGATTACAAGGGCCGAAATACGACAGGGCCTGAGATGGAAGGTCCAAAGCACACTTTCCTGCCATCCGCGGGCCTGGCTCCACTGGAAAGCAATTGGACTTTCATTAGCAGGGGATTCGCCAGCGGAGATGGCTGGACAGATGAGGAGGATTTGGTGTTTTTCCATTTCTGGGGAGCAACTGAGTCGCCTGAGGAGTTGTTCAACATCTTCTATAGCCCTAAGGCCATACGCTCAGCATCATTAGACTCCACAGCCAGGCAGACTCTCAGTACATACAAGCGACAGCCTGTCTCAGGGCCTTTGGTCTCTGTTCTGCTGAAGAAGGAACCGCTTTACGTGGCAACCATCAGCTATGCGCACGGCTGCTGCCAAAAGTCGCTGAAGCGCAATCGGGAGCAGGCATTGAAAGTTGGTGTGGACCAGGCTAGATCGTATGGGAAGAGGCATTTGGGGCCCGACTGGTTGGCCTCCAACGATAAGGTGCTGGCGCAAAAGAGAGGAGCTGGATGGTGGCTTTGGAAGCCCTACGTCATCCTTCAAACCCTGAAGGATTCAAGTGTCGTTCGGAAACCTCAGAGAGTTCCGGGATAGCACTTCAGACACATCGAGTGTTCGCCTGTTGATGAGTAATTCGCAGGATCCTGCAATCCCATGGGACAAGGGCGTGGTATTGTGGGTCGATGCTGGGAACTACTTGTGCTGCAGCTGCAAGAAGGCAAGCAGCAAGTCGTGTCACAACAGGGTTGCCTATGTTGCCTGAGTGCTGCCTGCGTACGTCTTTGTCAAACTGGTTGGCTATAGGGCCTTTGCGAGGATTGCGAAAGTAAGATCGGCCGGATATTCACCAAGGCATGCAAACCCGAGACGATTCCTCGCGTCAGCGCTGGAGGAGCCGCTTCTTGCCGTCGTTTCTTTGTTCTCAATCCGTGTCACTTTTCGTCTGGCATCCTGCCCAGGAGTCTGACATTGTGGCCCTACGCCTGAAGCAGTGCCTGGAAGTAGACTGGACAAGCAAGCTAACACTGGAGCGAATGAGCCTTGGAAGGCATGTTCGAGCAGCCAAACCCAGTAGAGCTCAGTGCAACTTGTGACACGTTCTGCAACTGAAAGTCGCAAGGAACATGTCTTCGAGGCTTGGCAGACTGTTCCAGTGCTGTTTCATGTCGGTTTGCAGCTATAATTGCTTCCCCTACTCATCGATGACGCGAACCCCCTATAATCCAAATTCACGCAGAGTACGAATCCTGACTTGTGTGTGGAGGGGGGGGGGAGGGCGGCAAATTTTCAAAGCTCACAATTCACACTCAAGTCAGACTGATCTCAACTTGGCAATCAATCACGAGCACGACTCAACTTAGCTGGTTTGATGCAATCACACTCACTCCACAATGTTTTGCTTGCACTGGAGCCAAAGCATCAGTAATGCTGTGCAATGTCAAATGTACACATGATGTGCACAATGCCCGGAAGTGACAATCCACTCCAGCACGGTCCCTTGACCAAATGATGTATTATCAATTGGTCACATCAATCACATCTTTGCAATGTCAACATCACATCAGTTCACACTTCAGGAATCCAATTCAACTAACCAGCCATTCAATCTACAGGCAATCAGACAATCAGTACAATCACTCGGCTCACTTGCAAACTGGAGAAAGCAACCAATCACACTGCAATGTGGAAATGGGGAATCACAGAGGTACAATCTCCATGGCTCAATGCAGGTCCAGATTTTGCAACATCAGATCCAAATCAGAGATGCAATGCGCAATGCATCAATTTGAAAAAGCAGCCTTCCGGGGTCTTCCAGGATTTGGGGTTTTTGGAGCAGAGTAGTTTATCAGGGGGGTCATTATTTGGGGAAGGGATTGCAGATCCGATCGGTCTTTGACATCTGTGATTGCCAGGTATGCCTTGACAGGCCGACCGCAGCTTGGGGCATACTTCCTTGCCTTCAGAAAGACCAAGGCGCGCATTGCACCCCGATCCTTCGGTGGACCCCATTGGCAGAATCCACCGCAAGTTTGCAGCAAGGCAGCCATCTCTTTCGTCGAGGAGTGGCTGCAGCTGTCAGAGGTGCGGATGTCTGAAAAAGCTAAAGCCATGCCCAGCCAGCGGCCCAGCCAGCAGCCCAGCCAGATGTCCTGAGGATCCGGATACGTTGCTTGGCCTGGCCGTCCGCAACTTGAATCATCATGGAGGTGCCTTAAGCACTCGTCCCCTGCAAATGTTCTCAGGTTACCAATCCTTCCACGTCAAAGAAGCCAGTGATATGCCTCAGGAACTGGCACCTTGACTGGTGACATTGTGGACGACGAGGCGCCCTGGAAAACGCTGAAATCATCGGCCTTCATGTTACATGAGGTGCCGAGCTTCATGACACATCAAGCGGATCAAAGCATCTTCTCGCTGCTCTTCAAAAGACGCCTGGCCAGCTCTTATTCTGCTGGCTCAACATAAATGACGAGCATCGGGCTTCGATTGCTTTGCAAGGATATGGCTTCAGAGCTAGTTCCTTGGAGGCGGGTCACACGCCGGAGCCTCGGATGATGTCTTTGCCTGCCGCCTGCGCAAGATGACAGAACTGTCTCTCCAAGGGTGGTCACACTGGATCGCTGGCGTGAATGATGGGACCGCGCAGGGCATGCCTGTAGCCTGAGAAAAAAGGTATGGGATTGCTTAACACTTAGGATGGCAGCAAAACCGATGCACCAGTTTCCACCATATCATTTAGGACGAAAGCATGTGGATGGCCAAGTGGCCATCTCGCACGTGAGTTGGTCACTGCACGTTTGCATAGTGCGCATGGCCAAGGTTGAGGCCCGCCTGCCATGCCAAGAAAGGTTGGGGCTTTCTGCGGCGCTGCTTGCAATGCATTGACTTACAGATCGCTACCAATCTGTTCTTTCCGAAAGGAACTTTAAGCTGCAGATGTGGACTTGAGCTTGAAATTTCTGGAAGCTGGGGTGATGGCAGATTCCACTGCCGCCAACATACTAACATCAAATCCTACTTTTGACATGGCGGCTATCATCTATACCATACTGGTGATGATCCCGTACCTTGCATTTCTTCAACTTCGTGTTGCTTGTGGGTAAGATGTCATCCATTGTGAGCAGGCTTCTGAAATGTACTACTGACGCCCACAGCTAGCTGCTGCAAGTTCAGTAAGGATGAATGTTGCACATCGAGCAGTGGGTTTGGGAGCTTCTCCTGGCGAGGCTCGCCAAGAAGATTTTTGAAGTAGCAGAGCCTGCCAGGACTTCACGTCACATGGCCCGTCGTAATCGCATATCTTTTGAGAGTCGCCAGGTTGGTTCTTCCCTAGCTACTCAGGCCTGGTGGCTTGCGCTTGCTGCGATGGACCTTCATTCAAACTCGAAGTTTCATAGTCTCGCGTGCGGAAAGCTGCAAACCAGCTGGCCCAAACGGACAGTGCGGGTCAGGATCAGCAGAACTGAGGGGGCGCAGGGGGCATGAAAGCCATTTGTCAGTGAACCTGCGCGCATATGCGCAGCTGATGCCAGATTTTTGTTTGCCAAGGAGCAACGAAAAGTCCTAATTAATACATCCTGGGAAGGAGGATTGCTGAAGGTATTGCAGGATGGACAGCGAGACGACACCGTGCAGCAGGATAAGCGTCCTCAGGTGGCCTGTTTGGTGGCCGACCAGAACACTTCTGTAGACAGGCCCCACAGCAGACTGCAGACAAGGATTGGGCCCTCCAAAGTGTTCTGTGTGATAGTGATTTTGACTTCAGCTGAACCCTTTGTCCTGTGCTGGACATGCGCGCATGTTGAAGACAAGATCCTGTTAGACGCTTCATGCATGTGGTTACGCGATTCTGGGTCAAAAGCCCAGCGCAAAGGAGCATGAACCCTTTGTCAACCCCCGAAGTGCTCATGTTTGCTGGAAATGCATGGACGTCAAAAGCAAGGTCCTGTCACAGGTTCTTCTGTTCATACACGCAGCAGTCCAAACATGTGGCTGGACCCTACGCCAACCGCCGTAATCTTTGCTCATGTCTGCTGGGAGACACTTTGCTTTCATGCCTGCTGGAAGAGCAACCCAATGGCAGCTGCGTAGGTCCGGCACAAAAAGAACATGAACCTTTTGTCAATCACTGAAATCTTCAGGTTTGTTCTAATTGCATGAATGTCAACAGCAAGATCCCGTGTCATAGACTTTTCTGATTTCACACGCTGCAGTTCAAACTTATGGCTGGACCTTTTGCCGCCCACGGAAGTCTCTGCTCATGTCTGCTGGCAGGACAAGTCGGTGGTCCTGTCTGCAGCACGTGCTGCTCAATGACAGCTGCGCCAAAAACATAGATGGCATATCTTGCCAGCTTGACAGCATTACCAGGACATTTTTGCGACTGCCTGCCCACCCACCAACCAACACCAAATTGCGAGCCTAGGTGGTTGCTGATCCAAGTCCTGAGATGGCCTTCCCCTTCAGCTAGACAACACGGCCAGGAAACTTTAGCAATTGCGTGCCCACCCACCAACCAACCAACACCATGGGCTCTTGGTAGGTTCTCCAAGCCCAGGTGAACAACGCAGGTCCAGCGCTGCCCATTGCGAACCCAAATAGAGACCATTTGTGAGCCTTGAGGAAGAAATGGAGGACCGATGAGGCTCATGACGCTGGCCAGCATCATCAGCATCATTGGGGCCCGTTTCTCATACTCAACGCTTCCCGTGCCGCTTTGAAACTGAATTCATTCTACACAAGGCCTGTGTGGGGACAAGCAGTGAGTTTGCGGCAAGCACGGAGCTTTTTGGGGTCTGGCCAGAGACCCCAAATCCTTCCATAGCGTGGGGATTTGCCTTAAAACCCCACGCTTTTCTGGCCCCGTTGTTGCAGGAGACGCCCGCAGGAGAAACGGATGTTCAATGATACTGATGATCACCCCCCAAGTGCTGCAAATCTGGCGCCANNCCCCCCCCCCCCCCCCCCCCGCACACAGGCCCTTGCAGGCTGCAAGCGACACCAAACGTAAAGCTGCGCTTTCCGCCATCCATTGAGGGGAGTGGTCACCATGGCGCTGCCATTACAATTCTTTTTTGCCTACACAAGCAGTAACGACCTGTTCTTGGCCCATGTGCTGTCAACACGAATTTGCAGGTTCGCAATCTCTGTCCTTTGCTTTTAGGACCTTAAGCACTTGCAAGTACGAGATGTAGTGCAGCCAATGCTGCGAGTATGCGATTGCTGAACCATCAGAGGTAGGTAGGACGCGCAGCAGGAAGTAGAAAAAAAACCTGCTTGCAGTGTTTCGAAACACTCAGAGATTCAAAGCCTTCCACAACCAATCTTCGCAAATCAAAGCTTTCACAGATTCCGAAATACCAAAACCATGTCAGAGGCTCAGACGCCTCGAAACCGCCAGCACAGTCCCCGAAGCTTCTGCCCATTCTGCGGCGCAGATCTGCAAATCTGCGCAGGGTTAGCTTACCACAGACCCGGCAGACGGGGCCAAGGTCACAAAATTCAGCCAGCTGCTTCCTTTGCCAATTATTTGACGACACATGCCAAATCAACATGTACTGGCAGGGGGTTATTGGAGCTGCCGCAGCAGCGCAGGGAGCTTAGATCAAAGGCCTGGGTCAAGGCTGGGCATCGCATGCTCGCCATGTCGTTGACTTGGCAAACCTCTGACCTGGGGGAGATCCCGGAGGTCGGCTCTTCGTAAGAAGCCCCTTGTAGAAGGGCTTGAGTAAGTAAGAAGCCTTTGCCTGAGCAATGCTGAAACCTTGCACTAGAGACTGCCAGACGTATGTTTCTCTCTGTGTGTCTCCGCCTCTTTCTGTTTGTCTGTGTTGGATGGTCTCTTGCCCGGTCCAGAGATGAGTTTTGACAGAAAGTTCGTGTGCGGCGCGGCATTGATGGCGATTGCACTACCGCAAGGATAGCGCCAGGTGTTCTATCCCGCATGTTACGTTGGTCCTTGTGGGGAACCTGGCTGGTTGCAGCCATTGCATGGGTACCCCACGCGTGGTTTGCTGTGGCAAGGCCGGCCTCGGACACTTGGAATTGCGGGACTCTCGCGAGAGCACCTGACAGCAACACGATGCGTGTTTCATGGTGCTGCTGCTCTGCACCAAGCACTAGTGCCGGGTGCTGCTTCCTGGTATCATGGCGGATTGGCATACTCTTAGCCGCGCATTTTCGGGAATGTGGCGACGTTCGCTCTGGATTGTTGGCTGCTGCCCCCAAGAGGCTGTGAGTAAGCGGGCCTGCAGTGCATCAGTGCATCAGGTCTACGCAGCAACGTGTGCTATGCGACGCGTTTTAGTAGTACTTGTTTGCTGTTGAGAGCCATTGCTGGTTTCTTGCTGCACCCAATGCGGGAACTTCGAGTGTGGGAGTGTCCAGAAGCGACCTGCTCGACACTTTTCTGCGGGCTGAGCTCAGGTGGTAGCTGTTGCTAGGTGCTAGGCAACACAGGGCGGAACCGGATTGAAGCTGCGATCATCATGGCCTGAAGGCCGGGCACGAAGGGCTTTGACCCCCTGTGCCGCGCGAGCGACGCTTTCGATCATTTTGCGAACTCAAAGGTCATCAGGCTTCTGTCTGTGCTTGGCTCTTGGTTTTAGCTCCCTTCCGGCAAAACAGAGTTTGGGGTGAAATTGCGCGTGGTGGCCCTTAGGTATGCTGTCGCGCAGTCAGCAGCTCGAGACGAGGCCGCATGATTTGAACGTGTAAGGCAACATGCTGTCATGTCCTCTTGCCATCTCATTCCTGTACCTGCAGCACCTCGGAAACGCATGAAGAACGACCCCTTTGGTCAGGCGATTCCGCAGGTTGCGCAGAAGGCTTTTCGCGCGGCACGGGCTACCGGAGTGTTGGACGCTCAGGAGTCACGAGGTGTCCAGATCACAGGAAATGAAATGACTATGCATGACTGGTGATGCCAGCCTAGGTGCACCTTTCTTGTGTGTTTTGGCCTGTGAAACAAGTCCAAGGAAACACCTTCATCATCTCCCCCTCATGTATACCCTGCATGAGTGCCCGCATGCAAGAAGAGGGGGTGGCTTACCCTTGCGAACTCGTTGAACATGCTCAACTCGAGCCTGTGCCAAGTTGACGTCTCTTCGTGTGATTTTCCAAAAGTTGCGATCCAGCCGAGTGGCATCTTGCATCTATAGTTCGAAATAAGGCATTTGTTTGTGCTGAGACAAGGGTAATTCGGTGCTATGTGCAGTGATTGGCAAAGAAGGTCCACGGCCGTTGCTGCGAGGATGGCAGCCGAGCAGTCGGCCAAGGCTGCTTGCACCCCAGAAAACAACGAGATGTTGTGCCATTTGGATTCAGACTTGGAAATCGCACGTACCAGTGCAGGCACTGAATGCCTCGTGCGGGGAAGCAAAATTGAAAGATATACTGGCACATTATCAACCATGACATTCTCAGGTGGCTTTCGCGGCAGCCCTGCAAGGCGCTTTCCTGCAGCTCATGGTGTGTCTCCGGAAGAATATCTCAGAGCATGCGCCCATTGTATCGACAGGTGAAATGCCAGCCAATGTGGGCCAGCCTGCTGCCTTGTCCATGCTGCTGTTTGTGCGGCATTGCTACTTGTACCGCATGGCAGGCATCTGCGCAAAGCGAGCCACATCGCAGCT